TCTCTCTCTCTCTCTCTCTCTCTCTCTCTCTCTCTCTCTCTCTCTCTCTCTCTCTCTCTCTCTCTCTCTCTCTCTCTCTCTCTCTCTCAATGTTGGCGAGTGTAAAAGAAGTTATCGCTCGCTTGCTGCGCAACAATCTCCCTCACCGGCAGTGGCACTTCGTCTCCTCCCTGCTCTGGCTCCGCTGCACGACGATCTCCCTCACCAGCCACCCGTCACCATAACCCACCTCGCCCTATGTGCAGACGGGAAGCGAGCGTTGCATGGCCGATTCACTTTTGCATACACAGGCGCTCGGTTGCGACGATCAGGTTGCACACGCGCTCTGACCACGCTTCCACAGGCCCTAGTCTTCGTCCTACCGCATGCACACCAAGCCTGGTCAGACGCGCGCTGACCACGTAGCTGATCTTCGCCTCAAAATGTGTGGGCCTGGGCCGCACATGGTGAAAATCTCCTGAAAATGGTCCTTGGTGTTGAGGGTTGTCTTGTCCTTGTCCTGCTTTTTCTGCCTTTTCCTTGACCTAGTCTTCGTCCTACCGATCTTGTTGAGCACGGGTGAAAATCTCCTGACCAGGGATTCTTCCACGGTAAGGCTGTCTTCAATGCCCGTGATCAGAGGTATGGCTAGGTAATTGTTTCACCCAAAGAAACAAAGCCAGCAATGTAGCCTAGGCGCGTTCCCTGTACTACCTGATTTCGAACATCGGATGTGCTCAGCCCAACGAGTAATCGCAGTTCTGCTTGTGCATCCGATGTAAAGCTTCCTGCACGTCAAGCTAACTATCATGTACACCCCTGGCCATTGGAGGCCGAGCGCCTCTAAGTCTATATACCTAATCAGCTTCCTGAACCAAGGTATGTGTCCTCTAACAGCCAGAAGCAAAATTAATAGCGCTAACTCATTTTCCGCGCCTCTTAGCAGTAGCAGTCTCAATGCGGTGGCTTCTCTTACCTGTCTTTCGTTCAGCAGGACCTGTATCATTTCTACTGCCTCATGCGATGTCAGCCTCATCTTATCTACTTCCCTTTGATGTTGACGCCAGCCTTCTTTGTCGAAGTTCCTTGATTATGCTGCTCAATGAATCCCTCGGAGGCGTACTTGCTCCTGTTCCTGATTAGCTCTTCGATGGCTTGCTCTTTGATAGGATACTCCACCCTTTCGTGATCGCACAGCTTTCAAACCTCATGTGCCTTCAGGTTGTTGAGTAGCCTTGCTTGCGCCACAGCGTACTCCACGACTCCTTCGCTCGAGCAGGAGGCCGCACATGGTTTCTTCTGCAGCGTAACTAACTCCTCTTCTTCATTCGTCACCTTCTGTTTCCCTTTCCCTTCCGGTGATGCAGTCGTTTTCTTGGCTCTCGTGTCTTCAGCTAGAGTACTCGGCACCTTCTTCTTTCCTCTCTTCCTGCTTCCAGCGCTTCAACCATCTTCTCTGCTTCCTTTCTGACTTCTTCACTATCATCTTCTGATTCCGCAATATAGCCTCTGATTTGCCTTAGCACTTTAAGATCACTTCTTCGGTAACATGAGCTGAGGTTGTACAATTATCTTCTTCTTCTGCGCAGGGATCTGGGAAAGCAATTTCATGAATCATGATGGTTGCTTCCAACCTAGCTTCCCTGGCTTCAGCCTCCCTGAGCTTCTCATTTTCCCTTCTCTCTTCTTCTTCTTTCCTCGCCTTCTTTCAATCTGCATTCCTCATCCTCTTGCTCCTCCTGTATCATACGCCTGTAGAATTCTCTCATTCCACTATCCTTGTCAGGTGCTCCTCTGTCTCCTGTTTGCCAACAGTTACGGGCATAATGCCCGGTCTTGTTGCAAATATGGCAAACCACCGTCCTGTACGGGGACTGTGTAGGAGCCACATACAGAGCTGCAGCAGGTGTCCCTAACGGAGGAGCTCCTGGTGTTGCCATCTCTTCAGGTCAGTCTCCGCAGGAGGATAAGCGTGCCCAGCACCAGAGAACACACCCTATCGAATGCCAAGAAGGTACCATTCAAGGCTGGAACCATTGTCCTCCAGGACCAGAGCTGGGATCTCCTTGCCCATCTGGTTAACAGACCCAACACCTCGACATAGAGAGAAGACAAGTGGTGCTGCCCCAAATCGAGGAACCAGTAGAACTCACCCTCCAATCCGCAGTGTATCGATGAGGAGAAAAAGCTTGTGGATGCTGCTGCTCACAAGCACTTGCAAAGCCCAATGTAGCCTCCTCACGTGCTTCAAATGATATTTAACCATCCTAGTCCGTAAGGGATTGTGAGACATAACCGCCATCGTATCCTTCCCTTCCCTTAATCCTCACATTGTCAGTTAACTACGTCCTTCACCAAAGACACTCACATCAAACCGAAGGACACCACGATCATTGAAACGGCTAGCGAGACGTCGGTTGTCGTGTCTCCCCAGAGTTCAGGGGCACATACAGCGGCCACACACGGCACATCACACGTAGAGAAGACAAAGTTTTTTGAGTACTCTGACAAAAAACAAGATATGCGTGAAGGTCTGTAATCCCGTTGTGCCATTCCTTCTGATAAGCCATGCTGAAATCGGTGTCTTCTTGGGTGCATCTGTGACTGACACTGACTGTCCTTTATCACCCCTAAGGAACCCAAAAACAGCAGTGAATCATCCATAACTCTTGCCTTTGTCATACAATTATATCATAATTGCCTCATTTACACATCTACTAAAACAGTTCAGGGAACGGTTTTTTGCTTCTGTGGCATTGCTCCATCCGTGTCTCCAGTGTTTTACAATTTACAGGGAGCTGTCTTCAGATCCATCGCTTGTCTTCTGGCCCTCCATAATATGCCGAAGAGTTGGGGTCTGCACAGGTGAAATGCAAAGCCCCTCCCTCTCAATCCCCCCC